TTTCCTGCACTCACAACTTCGGCTTCGTTTCCTGCTTTCGAAACCGTTATTTCTTTTGGATTCGTTTCATGCGTCGTCTCCTTCTGACTTTGTCACCTGCATTCACGGCTTTGTCTCTTTCCCTCACGGCTTCGCCTCTAATTCGCCTTTCAATTCTCACAGGAAGCCCTAATCCTCTACGTGAATACACAAATATGAATCGGCTGCGTCGTATTTACATATATACCGAAGAAAAAATTTCGAGGCAGTACCTCTACTGCCTCGAGGCATTACGCTCTAATGCGTACGCCTTGTGCGAAAAAATCGTAGGCTTCGCTGGATGGTTCGAGGCGTAAGCCCTGATACGCATGACTTCCGCCTCGACTTGAGGCGCGACTCAATGCGGACGCCTCGTCCGCTTTTTTAATGGTTGACATATATATATATATAGTGCTTGAAATACTGAAAAAATAATAATGTTTTATTCAATATCCTTAAAAATACTAAATAATATGAGAAATTATGGTAATATGAAATAATTATAGAGAAAATGATCAAAATAATTTCTTGACTCTTTATAAAGGATCAAAATGATTCTCAACTATATTAAAGAACCATTTTGATCCCTCAAATCTTTAAAAAGAAATCAAAATAATCTCATTCCTAAAAGAGGCTTCGTTTCTCGTCATTATGTAAATGTGCATGTCATGGGCAAATCTATTGTGCCAGCATCTCATGGCTTCTATGCTTAGTCAAGCACCCTCATTTAGGTGTGGGTTGTATTGTATTGCTTTGATTCCGTTCACCCAATTCCCATTGTCAGCCACATCATGGTGTCATCACATGGCTCTTCCTACACTCACGCTCGGGTAAGGATTATCATTTTCTGTCTGTCCAGATGCACTAAGGCAGTCGTGTTACCTTCTCCAACTGTTTTCTCATTTTTTTGTGTATTTTTGCACTTTTTCTCGTCTACTTTATTGTACTCATTCACTTCCTTTTAACTGTGGATGGTGTATTTTAGATCCTCCTCCTTTGCCACTTTTCAATAGATCCCACCTCCTATTTCTCTCACATTAGCTAAAATACTTGCCCCATTTTGACTCTTTTAAGGAACCACCTATCACTCATGTAAATGAGCGCTCTAGATAGTGAGGGCATCACTTCACTTTGTACATTGCGCACTGAAGCAACTTGATACCCTCATGCATCACAGTGCACTTAGCACTATGAAAAAACTTTGTTTAGCATAATAAAACATAAATAAAAAAAGAGTCATCACATCAATGGAAAGCCACCCCATCACAAATAAGAATAGGACAACTAATACAGGATGAATAACTGCTGCATGTGCAAAATAATTTAGTACTCATGCTAGCATATGGCTATAAAGCTACAGCAATACGAGTAATAATTATCTTTTATTGCCAGATGACTGTTGACTTTAAAGTTTGTTTTAACCATTTCATACCATAATTAAAGATCCATGGCTTCCCCTACCGAGCAAAACAAAAATCAAGAAATTGAATGCTCACATTTTTGTAATGAAAATTTTTGTTTTTAGGACGGAATCCTCGGTAGTAACAGTCCCTTTTGTAACATCCAGTCCCAGATCTTTAATTGCCTTCATCTAAACAAAAAAGAACGTGATTAAGACTTCTTAATTTTTAGAAAATCAGCAGATATATGCTTTACGGCAAATAATACGATAAGCAATCTGACTAAAGGTAAACTCAAATTCAAACATCAGTTTTTGCACGCATCAAATGAGCATTATTCTATTTTAGTACCAAAGTCCACTTTGCAAAAAAATTAACAGCCAACTTGAGAGCATGTTAAATACAAATAAAAACTTTTCTATGCTTAAAAGAACATTCCATCTTACTAAGTCGATAAAAAAAATGCTATCACTTACTGTGATAACAGAATGATGAATTTTGTTACAAAAAAATGATTATATACAATAACAATAAAAAAGAGTGAAAACAAATAACGGCTAAACAGGAACAAACAATATTCTAGAACATTCAACTCTAAGCATAGTAGTCAATTGGCAAGCTAATGCTGTAGTGAAATATAGACAGAGATACAGATAGTTCTGATTAGAACCAGACATAAACAGGGACAATATAATTGACAAGTAGAAAGTTCACTAAAGCAAATAACATTTCATCAGATAGTAGAAGTTCAGACACTTCACCGTATCAATTAGTGCTCCAAGACGATCTCCAAAACTAATTTCTACAATTGTAGCATTAGAATCAGAATCTTGATCAATCATGACTATAGGGGTTGGAACAGTATCACCATCCCTGTCAGATGTCTACAAAAACTGTGTCAGGCAAATAAAGTTTAAATGAAAGAGTGAAGAAAACTGTTAATGAAAAAGAATTTTCAATTATTAATCAACAAATTAAACAAAACTTAAAGGCATACTACATAGAATAACACTGGAAATTAAGCTCACTTGGTAGATAAAACTTTCCAAACAGCCTCAGAACCATACCTGGTTCTCCAATTAGCATTTTTTCAAAGCCAATGCTTGATGGCAGGTATAAAAGAGAAATGGGGGAAACTATAGCCAATATGAAGATAAAGGCAAAGATAAATTATCTAATATTACAACTGAAATGATCAATGCACATGATCATGTAAGTCCTGAAAGTAATACAGCTTCTTAGTTTCCTAGGCTTACCAAATCCTATATGGAAATCATTAGGCAAATACCAACTAAAAATTAATTATGTTTAACATTGAGAGTATAAGACACGATTTCTCCTACTTGACAGATACCATGTGGATCAAAATAAGATCATTCTGATGCAATTGTAGTTTATAACTATAGAAAATATATTTTCATAATAAGTCAAAGTGTAGGAAATTTTAATGATGTATTGCTTAACAAATAGCGTATTTGCTACTTTGCATAAGTCATGCATTAGATGGCTAAAAGCCATGCTTGGGTAAATAAAGTTTATTGTTAAAGATTTCGAGTGGACTTGAAATTACTCCTCAATGAGGCACCTAAACTCGGCCCTCTAATGTGTGAAGAAGATGAAATTGTAGAAAAAGAGATAAGTGACAAGAAATCTTGAGTTGTTTATTCCTTCAATGGGTATTTACACACAAAACTACATAGAAGATAATTCAAAATGTCAAAATACAATAATTCAAAAATAAAAAACTCTAACAATTGTCTGCCCCCTTTGGGCCTTGCTTGATTGTGTTGATCTTTGCCGCATAAGCAATTCACTGCCTTTTGCCTTCCTATCTTACACAAGGAACCATGGGAGAGGTATTTCCTTCCATGGGAAAAAGTCTGTGGCCTCTTCTTTCCTTTACTAGGCTTTCCAATGGCCCCACTAAGTCCACCAGCCCATTGGGCCCTTCAGCCTTTCAATACTCCCTCCTCAAACTGGGTGGTATAAATCTAACATCTCAAGTCTGCTTACAATATTTTTGAATGTGTAGTTGCATAGTCTTTTACTGAATATATCAGCAAATTGGTTTCAAATAGGGACATACGGAGTGCAAATCAAATAGCTTTCTAGTTTCTCTTTAATGAAATATCTATCAACTTCCACATGTTCGGTTTGATCATGTTAAACAAGGTTATGAGATATACTAATAAAAATTTAATTATCACAATATATTTTCATAGACTCTTGCTCGTCCCACTTATTTCAAATATTCTACAATAATGTTACCCCATAAAAGCTCACACATGCCTTAACAAATTGCTCTGAATTCAAATTCATAATTAGATCTTGAAACAAAAGTTATTTTTTGCTCATCCATATTATAAGGTTTTTGTGGGCTCCGAAAATTCGGCCCCGGCCTCCACTCGCTTTTCTTATTCGGCGAGGGAGTTTTAACGAACTAAGTTCCGAGGTAAATTTTGGAAGGCAGATGGGTTTGTAGATAAGACACTACCCAGAGTTTACACAGAGGACAACAGTTTTCTCCCACAAGTATACAATATCCTAAAGTGGATCTCTTACCCATTGGTGATCATGTATAGTAAGCATCAGTATAACCTTAAAACTATGGAGTCATATTTCTTATAGATAATCCCTCTCTGGGTTTGAATTAAGATACTTGAGAAATTTGAAAATAGCTTAAAGGAGAGAAACTATGAGTTTGTGCATAAATTAACTTATGAGACTTACTATGAAGATTATGTCAGGAGTGTGAGAAAGATAGATTAGTTTCCCTATTAATCTTTGATACTATATTGTGTCTAAATCTGTTTCATCTTCATTTGTATCCAATTTTTTATCTGGTTTATTAGGAGTTTCATGAAGCTTAAAATTAATTATTTTATTTTCCTCAATAGGCCCATTAAATATTTTTGTTGAGAAAAATATTTTATCGTTTAGACTAACTTCTATTTCCATAAGTATTTGAGTTTTCGTTGCTCTTTAATTTCAAATTCTTCAGCAATGTTTTTCCTAAATTACTCCTTTTCTCTGTGGTCATCACCTGTAACAATTATATAATCAATATATATAATGAGAATTATTTTTTTTTATTATTGAAGTGTTTTAGGAAAAGCATAATATCTTCTTGGCTTTGTTTGCATTTTGTATATAACTTTTATAAATCTGCCAATGCACACGCTTGGAGATTGTTTAAGATCATACAAAGTCTTTTTAATATGCACATCTTTCCTACAAAAGTGCTATTGAATCCCGGTGAAGAATTCATATAGACTTCTTCTTCAACATCTCTATATACGAAATTATTTTTTAGATTATAATGTTGCATGGAGCATCCAAGGTTAGCAACCAAAGAAATTATGATGCAAATTGCATCCATTTTCGCAATATAAGGAAAGTTTTTTTATGGTCAATTGAGATTGAGTATATCCTTACTAATTTTGCTTTATACTCCAGGCTTTCATATATTCTATATTTTAATGAAAAATTCATTTGCATCCTACAATTTTACCCTTTTAGTAGTTCAACAGTCTCCCACATGTAATTTTTTTTCCTAAAGAATTTATCTCTTCTCTTAGGACATTTTCAATTCTTATTTTCAAGTCCCTCAAATATGGTTTATGGAATTGTAATGAAATTGGAGCTAATGTTTGTAAATAAAACTTTACGTGCAGGAGAATTTTTGAAAGGATATGTATTGGGAGATGGGATATAGAAGAGTAGTGTTGTGTAGTTGATCATTATTATTTGATGACGATTTTGAGACTTGAGCTTGCTGGATACTTTGATTGGGTTTATTCTTCCTTATACATATTTGAAGAGATATCGTGATTGGAATTTGCATAGTTGGAATATTAAGAAGGAAGATAATATACTCATCAAACTTATCTTCTAGTTGATCGTTTGATAGGAAACAAGTGTAGATATCATCAAAAGAACTAAAAAAGAATTGAATAAATCCCCTAGCAAAATAATAGGGAAACTTGATAATTGATTAAAAGTGGAAGAAAACAAACAAGATACAATGGATCTTAAGATCCGGCTCTCCCAATCCCTAGTCGGCGGCTAGAGCCCAAACAAATCTAGAGAACTCCTAAATTCAGCAAACACAAGCATAACCCTAACCCTCTTCCTCCTATTTAGAGAATACAAATAAAAGCATAATTACTAAACAACCCTTTCTAAAATAAATTCCCTCCTAAACTACCCCCACAAGAGGTCCGACGACTTGCTTGTCCACCTGGAATAAACCAGGGGCTGGCCCTAGTGATAGGCTGGCTGGACCGGTCCAACAATACCCCTCTCCCAAAGACCCACCTTGTCCTCAAGGTAAAAAGATGGGAATTGATGCTTCACCCTCTCGTACGACTCCCAGATGACGTAATAGTTAGGTAGGCTCTTTCATTTAATCAACACTTGCCTGCCCCCCGCCCCCCTTTTATCCTTGTCATACCACGTTTAACTCCAATGGTTCCTTCAAATCCTCAGTCAATGTTGTGGGTAACTCTGAACTAACTGCATGCTCCTCAAGAGCTATCCTCAACTATGACACGTGGAACAATATATATGTATGGTAGCGATTGGGAGTAACCTCGAGTGATATGTAATAACTGGTTCATCCGGCCCGTTCAACTGAACCGGCCGGCCTACCCTATTTAGTATCGCGAACAGGAGGGGTTCGCGGAACTGAAGCGTTCGAAAAACAGAGAGGGGCGGGTGATGGAGCATTCGTGCGGGAGAGCAAAGTGAGTTTTGTTTTTACAAATTTAGCACACGATTGTTTTCAATGATAAGAAATAACGATTCCTTTTCATTCTTATCGTTATCAGAGTGTTATTTTTGGAGAGATTTGAAGAACAAAAAAAACTGACGAGAATGATTAAGGGAAGAAGGTTTGTTGAATTTCTTTCTCACTTTTCTTATTAAGGCGGGCCAGGTCGTGACACGATAAGCCACTATTTCAATCTTCTCCAACATCTCATGAGGGCCAAAGTACCTCGGGGCTAGCTTCTCATTCCTCCTGTTGGCTACTGTCTTCTATATGTAGGGTTACAATTTTAGGAACACTCTATCCTTCACTTCGAACTAGATGTCCTTCCAGTTTTCATCCGTCTACTTCTTCATAATTTGTTGTACCCTCAACAAGTGTCTCTTCAGTTCCTCTAACACCCTATATCTTTCCTCCAAGTACTGGTCTACTGAAAAGAGAGGTATGCTCCTCTGCCCCAAATGCATCAAGTGTGGAGGGTCTCTTCCATACAACACTTTGAAAGGAGTCATCTATGAAGCTGAGTGATATAAAGTGTTGTATCAGTACTCTACTCATGATAGCCATTTGGCTCACAACTGAGATGTTTCTGGAGCAAAACACAATAAGTAAATCTCCAAGCTTGTATTTACCACCTCTGTCTGCCCGTCTGTCTGAGGGTGGTAAGTAATGCTTCTCATTAGAACTGTTACTTACAGCCAGAATAGCTCTCCAAAAACTGACTGAGAAACATCTCATCTTGATTAGATATTATCGACTCCGGAATCCATGCAATCTAAACACCTCTCTGATGAATGCAACTGCTACTGTAACTATCGTGTAGGAGTGTCGGGAGCATACTTGCTCAACCTGTCAACCACCACCAGAATCACTGTAGACCCCTCAAACCCTGATACTGTTAAATCTTGAAAAATATTTGATATAATAAATGTTAAATCTTGAGAAACTATTTGGCAACTGATCTCAGGATTTAAGACAGTTAAAGATTTAAATATGAAATTAAAGTAGTTGTAATTAGTTTAAATTATTAATTATACTATTAATTATCTCTTTAATCACTTAAATATTCTACTACTAATTAATTATTTATAATGTTAATTAGATAATAATTATTTATATTTTAAAATATATTAATTAAACCTTGTAGTTATTTTTTATCATGAATTATACTACTAATTATTTAATTAAACTAAATTAGAGCATTTAATTATATTATTAATCATAATAGTAATTATTTATTTAATCTAATTTATTAACAATGTTTAAATTGTTTAAAAAAATGCTAAGTTAGACTAATTTCCAATAGAACCCATGTAGCATTGTTTAAAAAATGCTAAGACAAGCTTGCTCGCAGGACTGCGGCCGAAGAAGCGTAGCCGGTGCAAGGAAAAAGGCCGGCTGAGCAAGGACAAGCACAAATCGGAGAGGCTAGGGCTACAAACGTAACGATATATCTCCCTTTCGCGTGCTTCTTCCGCTAATTTCGATTCTGTAAATCCGCATCTCAATGGGATTTAAATTTATGTGGATTTTTGCAGCAAATCTCGAATTTAGATACCTCTGAAAACTGTTTGATTGGATTTACCTTAAATCCTGCTTATATCCAAGCGCAAATCCGATACAAAACAGAACCTTAGAGAAAATTTTTATTCATTTTTTCGAGAGAGGAAAAGAGATAGGGTGAGAAATTTTTTTCTCTGTTTTTAGAGAGAGAAAGGTGGAAAGAATCTTCTCTTTTTTTTTGCTCTTTTACTCTTAGAGAGGAAAAAAAGCAAGAGAATAAGAAAGAGAATGAGAGGTACAGTGAGAGAAGGTGTGAGGGATTAAGATTGCAAAGAAGAGGGGAGGAAGATGAAGAGTTAATGGATATCAACTTGCTGGTCGTTCAACTGCGAGCGTGTGAAGAAGAAGAGATCAACGAGGGAAAACAGAGGGACGTGTGCAAGGGAGGGTAGAAAGGAATGTGAAAGGCAAATGGGGTTGCAGCTTGTCCGTCAACATTGCTTCCTTGTGTCTTCTTCTATGAGGGCTTCTGGTTCAGGTAGGAATGGAGACTTGTAAACAAAGACGTTAGAGTGGGTGACGGGACAGAGAAAAAAACAAGAGAGGGCAAGTTGTAGTTTGGGAGTAGGAGAATAGAGAAAGAGAACAGAACAGTGGTACCTGGAGATGCAGAGGGAGCGAATTGAAGAAAAGGAGAGCGGGCGGGCAATTTGACGACGTAGGAAATACCGGGATCTAGGATCGCCTGCAACTGTGCAAGGGATTTGGAGATGGGAAAGAGCTAAACGGGCTTCTTTGAGGAGAATAAGGGAGCGTGAGACACGGGAGGACGGGACGCTAGCGCTTGTGTTGTTTTTTGTCAATTTCTTTAGGACAGCGAGCCAGGGATTCGGCCATGGTAAAAAAAAAGTCACCACTTTCATTGAACCAACCAGACAAGACGAGGTCAATTTGGGCATTTGATAATTATTTTCTATTTTTATTATTATTATTTTGAGGATTAGAAACTATTTTTTATAATCAAAATTGTTAATACGGAATAACTTTAAAAAAATAGCTATTCAATTTGTTTAAATATATATATTTATAATATTAGTAACAAATTTTTAAAATGCTTTTTATATCACAGCTTTACAAATACTCTAACAAAATGATGCAGCCATCTCAAAAAATTTTAAAGATCACAATGCTACAGTGCACAGATAATATCAAATTTCCTCAATACTGATAAGGTTTCTGAAAGATTAGAGAGATGACCATTAAGGGTTTAACTTTTCACCAAGAAATCATCAATATGCACCTTCCGGTTCCTCCTCTTTTTGGAAACACAAAACTATATCCATGAGGAGGTTAAATACAACATCACTTAGCCAGAATGGCATGACCAATAACAAAGGTGTCTTCATTGGTTAGAAAATTAATATTTCCTTCGTCATTGGGTTGCATTTATATCTAAAAATAATCAAAGGAGTTGAGGAAGAACGGTATAATATATCCTCCTCTTGAGTCAACAAAGGTGTCAATGGCCAACAAAGGTTAACTATCTTGGAGCACAGTTAGTTCAGGCAAAAAAAGTTGATGTGTATTCTCTACTTTCATTTCTCTTCTTAACCATCACAACTTTAGAGACCAGTTCCCAGTAGAAACCTCTAAAATGATTTTTTGTCTCCAAATGTTTGTCGAACTCAATGATTTATCCCATCCCCTTCGCCTTGTTATACCTTTTTGTTTCATGGGCTTGAAGTCCAACCGGCTCAATATGCACGATTCTATCAGGAGCAACTTGGACAGATCTAATGCAAATGCATCAACTAGTAAATAATTTACTAACTTAACAAGTGATTTCCTATTAAGAAGGTGCTTATTTGGAAGGCTTAGATGGGATCTCCTTCGTATGATGGAAATTTTTTTATGCCTTTATATGAATGCAGGCCTTCATGATTCTTCACGGTTGTCTATAGCAAGTTATATATTGGGCCTTGTTTGGCATTCAACTAACATAGCTTGGACTGTACTAGTCCTTTCCTAATCGTATTGATCCCAAGCAAAGTTAGGAGCTTAGTCACAAGTGATTGGTCGAAATAACCACTCTAAATGTGCTGAGAAACGTTCTGTTAAATACTTCACTATATAAGGATGGAGATTTGATTACCATGAAATTGACTAGCCTTGTTTTGTGAAAGTGATAATCAATCCTAAAAAACCGTGAGAATTACAAGTCCTTCAGGACTCTTTGATTCTCCAAGAAAAATAATGGGCAACTCCTCATTAGTTGCAAGTTTTTCAAGCTTATGTCCAGCTTTTCCAAAGCTTGAAAGAAGAAAATGACCATGGGCCTACAGAAATCTATGAGGATTTGACAGACTTCAAATAAGTTCAACAAAGCTCTGATTATCATTGAGTTGTTGAGGAGATTGCAATTAGTGAGGAGCTTTTAAAATGACAAAAAGATCAGGAGTTGAGTGAGTAAATGTTAATTTTACCTAATTTACTTAGATTCTCCATAAACTAGAACAAAAGGAGCCTCGGTCCCTTTTCTCCAATAACTACTTGAGGTGACAGCAGTCTTCCATATTATTTGTGGTCATTAAAGTTATCCTAGAATTTGTTTGGGTCTCTATTATCTCAACACAAATTCTTGTATGACCATCGAGGTACTCTCAACCCAAAAATGCTACAGCAACTATCGCCAAAAAATGATTAAAAGATGATACAGCTAACGAGCTAAGATGAGCCGGAGTGGTAAAAAAAAAAAAAGTCATGCGGCAACTTCTTTCAAAAATTGTATACTAACCCCCATGAAATCCTCCATAATGATTATACTGATGCTCCTTGTCTTTGCTCTTAGTCGTGGTCGGGCCTTGGGCTGAATAAAATGTCTTGAAGCACTTGGTGAACTCCAAGACATCGATGTAGTTGTTAGCATTTTATACAAGCTCACCCATGGATCTAGGTGGATTCTTGGTGACTGTGAATTTGAATCAATCATCACAGAGCACTTGAATCAAAGCTACTTTGACAACTAAGGGGACCCCTCTAGCATTTCTTGTTTAAATTGGATGACTTAGGCTATAACCATAAGGAATTGTATGGAAAATGAGCATAACGCTATATTAGGTGATTAGTGGTGTTTAAATGGCTATGTTTAACTTTTTTGTTTTTGATTAAATAAGATAGCAAATGGCGATGTTTAACTATTTGTAAAGTCCTTCACATAAGTGAAACTAAGATTATAATTTTGAAAATGTATACAAATATTGTAGCTGTAAAAATAAATATAAAGAAAACTGTAGATGCACAATACCCTTTGTTTAACTATTTGTAGGCCTTATATCGCTGCAATATTTTTCATTAAAAAGTAAAACTGTAGATGCATAATACCATTGATGAAGATCCCAAGACATCAGCTGAATTGACGGAAAAGACACTGCTCCTGCAACATAGAATTAAGACAAATAAGAAAAATTATAACAATATATTTTAAAAGCCAGACAAGTGAAGAAAGTAATGAGTGGTACTGATTATTAAATGTGCACCTTCGAACCGCGAAATATCAAACAGTTATTATTGAATTAATATTGGAGAACCATTTGAATAAACAGTGAGGCAAACTCAAAATCTCTATTAGTACAATATTGTCATCATCATCATCATTATTAGTCTTATTCAAATTAATTAGGTCAGCATTATAAATGCTCATTTTCCATTTGTTCCTATCAAGTGTTGTCTGACATTTTTTGTTGACCTCCCTTTTGAATTAGGTTAAACCTTACCCCTGACAGACAAAGATTCTTAGCCTAGAACCTTGTCCAAAACGCCAACCATTAAGATCCTTAAAAGAGACTCAACCTAGTCTAGATCAACTAGCCTACCCCACTAAACTCATCTACTTGGTCTGTCCCCTAACCAATTGACTCGCCCAAGTACCCAAAGAAACCAATTCAATTGATCATTGGATTCATGAATTGGTCAGTCTAGCCAAATCACCCCATCTTCTAATCAGCTTTGCCCAATTGGTCAAAGAAACCAAGCCTAATCAAATCTAGTATTACCAGACTCACCCAAAACACGTGCCCATCTCACTAGACTATCCTAGCTGGCCATGAAACTCATAAGATGGACTTTACTATAGTTAGTGTGATCTTTAGGGGCTGTTTGGTTGGAATACAAAGTGATCTAAAGTATTTAAAATGCAAAGGTTTTGAAAATCTAAGTGTTTGGTTGGATGAAAAAGGAATACAAAGTAAAGTAAATATAGTGTAAACATTTTTAATTTATTTTTGAAGTAAACCAAACTTACATAGTTTTGAGCAAGAACTGTTTAAACCACAAGCACACTCACATGACCACCAACCACCTCCCCGCAGCCCACCACTGCCGCCGGTCAACGCCACCGCCGCGACCACTGCAGGTAGCAACTATCACCCGCCGCCGGCCACCACCGTCGTCGGCCGTCTAACCACCACCCACTACCATCTTTGGACTTTACACCATATTCATTACTTCTACCCAATATATATACATGTATTTACATGTATTTACTTTACATTCATCCAAAGTACTCCAAAATATTCCTTTTACACTAAATTACTTTTACACTGCATTGTTTTTTTAGCCAACCAAATAGCTTCTTAGTCAATTTCGAACTCTATAGACTTTCGACACACTGACTCCTCTTGTTGGCCTTCAAATTCATAAGCTAAACTCCTCCATATCTAATGTGGTCCTTATCAATTTTTAAACCAATAGACTTGATATGATCCCAATAAAACCTCTACAGTTGTCTAGTTAACCTTGGGTGGACAGTGGACTCATAGAGGACCTTAGTAGGTTTGGTGGATTCAGCCCAACCTACCTACTTAGACGATTAGACCTAATATCCTAAAGGACCAAAATGACATATGATTTTCGATCAATTGAGTTCACCCACAAACTAATAGACCCTTGAGGGTTCATTGAACTCAAGATTTGCTAGGTGTTCTAATCCTGCCTTAGGTAGCCTAATGGATTCATCTAACCTAAATATTGCCTAGGCTAAGATCCAATTGAACCTAAACACCTTATTGAACCCAATTGTCTTAATTGGCTTTACCCCATGAATCAAACTAACACCATATAACCCTAGACAGTCTAATAGACTCAGTCAACCGAAACCTAGCCTAATTGACCAACTAAACCCAAGCTAAACCCAAATTGAACCCATTGAACCAAAGTGGACAAGCCTAGCCTAACTAACCTAGCTAGACCTTAACAAAAAGTCATTTGGTTAACCCTATACAAATACTCAAGGACCTATCACCAAGTCTAAAGATCTAACCGGACTCAAAGTTGGTTGACTTACCCCAAACAAAATATAGCAAAGCATAGATTGCACATTCAAACACAATTCTCCTCAATTGGCTAAGCCTATCCCAATTGCTCCTTAGTTATCTCCTAAACACATCTAAACCCTTGGATAACAAAGACCAAATGATAATAGCAAGCCTAGCCATGGCCAAGCTCCAATGATCCTTACCAAAACCAATTGGCCGATGATTAATCTAGCCCAACTCAAACCTTCCAAAGTAATTCCTCCAACAGATTGAGATATTCTAAAATGCTTAGCAACATAAAAGGGCATCTAGTTGAGTTCCAACTAACCCTAGATCGGCACCTAAATTCCATTTGCCTCAAGAAACCCTCCAAAGGTCCTAGCTCTAGGTTCCAAAACCCTAAAACTCAAACTAATTAAAGAAAAATTATATATATATATATATATATATATATATATATATATATATATATATCTATCCACATATTAATTAAACACCCAATTAAACCATAAATAACTCATTAAATCAAAATTAGGTTTAATAATCATTTTTTATGTTATTCACCCATATTCATGCTATTGCATAAAATGAACTTTGAAATACTTATTTTCCAAAATTATGGCATTTTCCAACTTTTCAAGGATTTTCTTGCAAATTATCACTTAATTTATAATTAATATTTTAGAAAATTAAGAACATGCAAATTGATTGATCAATCAAAAAAATAAGGGAGAAAGTTCCCTCCAAAATTTCAAAGTAAAAATGCACTCCATTTTAAAAGTTCCAGACTTTTTTTAATCTTCCGTAGTACTTTTATTTGAAAATAGCAAGCAAATGTAAATGATTTAAATTATTAAATTCTCTCTTTAATTATCACAATTGTCTAATCCAGCCTATATATTTATAAGCATATTATTAAAACACGATTAAAGAGTAAGTTCCCTTCAAAACTCTAAAACTTTAGAAGTGCTTCATTTCAAAATGGAGCCCTCTCCAAATTTTATTTTTTTATTCTTTTATAAAAATAATAATAACTTTATTTTAAAGTTATGACGAAAAAAAATCAAATCCCTCCAAAACTTCATTATGAAATGGGTATTTCTCAAAATTTTGATACTTGTGCACTTCTAAAACCATAAAAAAAATAAAATCACATAAATCCAATTAATTTAATGTATTATATTCTAATCTTAATTAGTATTAAAAATTATTTTAAAAATAGCTTCTCTTTCCTAATTATTATAAGTTTAACAAATTTTAAATTTGATTTTAAATATTTCGGAGATAAAAAAGAGAGTAACTTTAATCTTTAAAATATTGAAGCTCAATTTCAAAATGAGTTTTTCTAATCCATTTAATATACCTGATATAAAGTAGATGCTATGTTTAATTTTCTTGGTAAGAGAAAATAAAGAATCAATCTAATAATATTCTAAGTTTCTAACTAATATTGAATAAATACTAGCTTACTTATTCATCTAATTGTAAATATAATAAATTTTTAACTGATTATAAATATCATAATATTAATTAAAGCATAAATTAATTATTATTTAGAGATAGTTTTAATAATTCAATTTATTTATTTATACTTTTAAATTTGACTCAATAATTAAATATCACTTGAAAATCAATTCATAATAACCTATAGCTAGATTTAGCTCAGCTACAAATTGAATTTACTGAGTTCAAGCAGCTCTTGAAATTAATTCGTTAATAGTCTCCTATAACTAGGGGTGCAAAACAGTTGAGTCAAGCTTAAGTCGGGCCTAACTCAAGCTCAACTTGCGAGCCAAATCTTTCGAGCTCAAAAGGCGAGCTCGAGCTCAGCTCGTGCAGCTGCAAGCGAGCTCTTCGATCGGCTCGATTCCACGGTTTGAGTACGCATAGGTTTGCGGATGTCATTCGCCTTCTGCATGCGCAAAGGTTTGCCATCATAGAGGTTCGCCTTCTTATCATTCGCAAACGCATACGCTTCGCCTTCCGCACATGATTCACCTTCCCCAAACGCTTTTCCTTCCGCTCGTTGATTCGCTTCTACCTGCAAACCGCTCAATGAGTAATCGAGCCGAGCATACTCTGGATCGAACTCAAGCTCGATAATTCAACAAGCTCAAAATTCTACTCGAGCTCAAGCTCAAAACTCGATGAGCTCGACTCATGAGCTCGTCAACAAGTCAAACTTGAACAGGCTCGCGGGTCAGCTGGACTCATTTACACCCCTACCTATAACAGAGCATGCTAAAAACGAATGCAAAAACAACGTTTTGAAAACCCGGCCGGACTAGTCAGTACAACCAATTCGATCGTGAACCGGCCAAGTTGGTCAAATTTGAAAACCATTTTTGCATCCAATCATCTTGAACCGATAAAACCATGAAATCAGTCCCGATTTTGTAAAATTGGATGGTTCTTTAAAATATTTGATTTTATTTTAATTAAATTTTAAATAATATGTTTTAGTTAATTAAATTTTTTTAAAAAATTTAAAACATTTTTATTAAAAATGGAGATGAATTCAATCATGATATATGCTTGTCATCTCACATAACATAATTTGTTATAAGGTATATGTACTTTACACTATATAAAATAAACTAAGGGGTGTCAAAATGGGTCAATGAGTTGAGTTCGGATCCAACCCGAATTGCCTCGGGTCCAAACTGATTAATCTTAACCCAATCCGGTTTTACAAACGTGTCAAGAATTCTAACCCAAACCCGACCTGACCCGCATGGGTTACTAGGTTGACCCGACCCAACCTGCAAACACGAACGCCTTGAGCTTACACCTTACGGACGGCTTCCCGCATCTACTTGGGCGCCAAAGTGGCCCACTTCTAGACCAGATTATCACGGAGGGTCTCCTCAGAGGCAGAGACTTCCATGGCGGCGCAGCAGCAATGGATAAACGATGCAAGTTTGGGAGGAGTGACCAACGACTCAACAAATAGGTAGTGGATAAACTGCCAGATTTTTGTGCGCCAAAACGAGTCTGGACCACAGGCGAGGCAAGCATAATGAGGGATCTAGCGCGGGCAGTAGTGGGTGAGGCGCGGGGCCGTAGGAGAGGTGAGTGCGGGCTGCGGTATGCTAGGTCAAGCACAGGATCCAGTTCATTT